AAACTCACTCACTCACTCATAAAGATTGTATTACACGGGACATCTTTTAGTATTTTATTCATTACTCACTCAACATTAGCAAATAATATCTCAGAATTCAACTTACAGAACGAGTGCATTACGCCGTCATAACAGGGGTCACGCGTATGAATACATATCATGTATGATTGTCAACATAAGTCTATTTAATTTGATGTTTTGAAAATAAACAAGGTGGAATGAAAAAAGGCACCAAATGACTTCAACCAACATGTATATTTTTTTATATAAATGCTATTGCACGCCACCGAGCAAAGAACAGTTGAATATTGCGACTTCGAGATGTGTTGTGGAAGACAGCCGACATTTTGTTATGATCACGTCACTTTGTTAATGTGACCGAGTGCAAATAGTTCCGACAGCACGAGATGCCATTACACAATGTGTAATAACATGATTGCAGATTTATTAAACAGTGATAGCTTCACCTCACTTTAACTTCTTATTGAAGCAATAAAAGGCTCACTATCCCTTACGGCTTGCCTGCAATCGATAATTTCAACTCCGAGGGGGAACAGCTTCCAAACAGAGTCGCTTGCCATATATGGATTATACACAATTACTCCGTACATCGAAAACTGTTGCACGCGGTGTTTTGTTTGCCGAACTGGTTTCAGTCACAGTGCGTAGGATATTCGTAAAGAGCGCCCCAAGGGATATAACTCTACGGGGTTCGCTTGAGGGCGTTGCATTAATTCTTTCTAACTTTTTTATTTCATATTTTAATCTAAATAGGTAAAATGATTTTGAATAAATTATATGGTAGCTTCCCTGAGGGCTGATAGTTAGTATTATTGAGAGAAATGTATTATTTATTTTTAGAGAAATGTGGCGTGATATAGTGCCTTTAATATGTACATTGTTTAAACATGAATTTCGTCAAGGTCACTTTGTACCATATGAAGTAAACATATGCAGTGATTATTTAAAATCATTCATTGACACACACTGCGATTGCAAACGCGCAATACGATATACAACATGCTTTACTTCCACGACACCGATTATGTGCAATTGTGTTTTTCTGAACTTATAAATGCCCAAACCTTGTTATATCATATTGTATGCTATTTGCATGTACATGATATCGTTAGATTAGTGTTACTTTGTCTGATCTAAACATATTATAAATGCACGAGTGTACTCGTAATTACTGCGTAATTTAAATGTAGATTAGTGAGTTAGATTTTACGCCGTCTTTAGCAATACTTTAGCAATATCAGGGCTGGGAACACCGAAAAATGGGCTTCACACATCGTACCCGTGTGGGGTAAAATGTTGATAAGTGATCAACTGTCAACATAGAATATAACAGAAAACTGGAAAACAGGAACATCATTTAAAACCATACAATGAATGAAGTGAGCATGGCTTACCTTAAAGTAACCAAGAGGTATTTCATCAGTGACATACCCTGAATAAATGCCGTTATCTATACCATCGATGCTCTCAGGGTCCGTGATATAATCGCATGTTCAATTCATGTCACTTCTTCAAACAATACTGCTGATCAACACTGCTGACTATCTGAATCTTGAGAATGCCTTGCAGCTTTGAAAACTTTGAGTACGCAGAAATTACTAAAAAAAACATTCTCGGAGAGAGTGTGTCAGAATAATGTTTACTTCACCCTCCGGACATGTATTCTTAACATAACTACAGAAAGCTTATCAAGTAAACTTGGCAATGAAGACGAACGTATATCGACACTGACGGATTATGCACTTTGGACTTGGATTTTGTACACATATGTAATAGCTTTTCACAGTTTCTCATAACCCGAAATGGGTGGGTCGTTAATTTATTTTATTGTAAGGTATATATACTGAGGGGAATAAATAAGGGATCAGATGAAAGCACAAGTGTTCCCTTATTTGTTTCCAGGTTTCTTCACAAGGTCTGCGATACAAGGCTTGTGAAGAAATCTGGGAAACAAATAAAGAAACACTTATGCTTTGATGTGATCCCTTATTTTCCCCCTCAGTATATGTACGAGGGTGAGACTTAAACAATATATCTCTCTGTCTGCATGTAGTCTTAACGCTTGACACACAACGCTTATTAGCTTATTTTTCCCCTCAGTATATGTACGAGGTGAGACTTAAACAATACAGTAGAACACGGATATAACGAACTCCAAGGGACCATGAAATTTAGTTCGCTATATCCGGTGTTCGTTATTCACATTTGACCGCCATCTTGGATTGTAGAGATGTAGAGACACGTATATGCTGAGGCTACAAATATTTATTCTTGTACATGTACATTGACATGACATTAAAATTCTGAATTTATCATTCACAGACATTAGCTAGAACATGTTTCACAATTACAACAATACATGTATATAACTTAATTACGTTATTCGAGTATAATTTTGATGATATTATAAAGGACTGTTGACGGGACTTTTAAATTTGTTCGCTATATCCGTTTGTACGCTATATCCGTGTTCGTTATATCCGTGTTCTACTGTATATCACTGTCTGCATGAAGTCTTAACGCTTGACACACAACGCTTATTAGCTTACATTTTGGATGCTTTTAGTGGTCACATTATTGGATAAAATCCACACAATGTGAAGTCCTATTTTAGATAGTCACACTTATTTATATAATAGAGAAGAAAACATGACGCATTTTGGAACTATGACATAATGATATATGGAGGTGACGGGAACTTGTGATTGTTTAAAGGGTAATTTGTTCTGAATGGCATTATGGTCAAATGATCGATTCTGTATACGTACAGGACATATGGACATGTAGAATGCAATAACAGAGATTATAGACAAAGGGACCGTCATCATGTCCTTCATATCAGAGACCACAAACGTTAATCGTACAATTTTGGCATCCCTTCATGATTATAGTGAACCGATGAGATCTAAAATTGATCACAAAAGGTGTTAGTGCACTCATACACCTCAACCCCTCTAGAGCGTGACGTACTTACTAAAAGTAAGCAAAACTACATTTGTAAATAAGTATAATTCACTTTACCTTGTTTTCCCTTTGCACAAATTCGCGCGAAAAGTAAAACATTTGGAAAGTACAGCTTGCTCAGCTTGACCCGATCAAGTAAATACCAATGCATTGCATAACCATTTCACAACTGGTTTGGTCTATTATTGAGAAGGGGTACACCTTTGTCAGTTGATTGTCAGCATGTCCGAACAGCCAAGACAAGGTCGCCGTTTGACATCTCAGTGTCTAGAAATCGTCAGTAATGTCTTAACTTTCCTTAAAAAGGAAGCTACAGGTAGTTTAATGTTTTTCGACTCGGGCTTTTAGGCATTAATAACATTCTCTGCTCCCCTATTTAATGAAGTTAACTCGACCTGCCGTTTGTGCCATTTGACCTCCCCGGTCATGCATATACAGAGTCAAGCTGAACAAGCTGTATAACACAAGTATGCATAAGTAGCAAATATAATGTTTCATATCTTTTTGACGAAATTATGTGAATGAGAACGGATGAGAAACATCCAAAGTCCAAGGTCAGTAAATATCCGGAAACATACGCAAATATGGTTATACAATGTATTTGCTGATGGATTGAGACTGATTCTTAGGCATAAAATGTGGCGTTTGGTCCCATGAGGTCTGCAAAAGGAAGTCGGAATGAACTGAAATGTCAGTAAACACGTCTTTTTCTGTGGTTTTCGTATCCAGGTGTTTTCATATGCGTCCTTGCTGGTACTGTGAGTTGGTCAACAGGAAAAATATTGCGCGTGGTGCTATTCACACAGGGCGAAAAATTTCAAATGAAATTGAAAAGACATCATTTTCGCATAGAAATAGTGTTTCAGTCAGCCTTTTAAACGCAGAGGATATTCCAGGCTGGTGTGTTATCTTCATTCAATTCATATCCTGGTGACACCACCATCATTTCAAGGCTTGACAATGGTCAGCACCTCGAAGATCCTGTGTGAATTTTCACTCTTTGAAATGTATCAGGGTTACAACTTTACAAATGCTAATGCTTTTCGAACGATTGATATCAACGGATGTTACTGATATTGATGGTGACTGTCGATTATCTGCTTTGAATACACACGGGTTATATGTACTGTTACAACACCCAGTCCAAACACCTGTCATTTGTTGATTCCCAAATTGAAACAGCGAGTGATGTACACTGTCAAAATGTGGTATGACTTAGCATTAGGAGCAGCACGTTTGGGCTTTGGAAGATAATAAGATTGTGATACACACATGACGAACATGTGCACCAGATGTGCCCGCACATGTGCACCAGATGTGCCCGAACAGTGCACTTTTGCACCAGAAACCATCCCTAGGTCTCAGCCCATCCCGACCTTTGCTATATAGCATATTGCCGTGAAATGTCTACCTAGTTACACAACACAAGGATACCCTTCCCTGAGATTATAGATTTCCTCACTTTCCCCTTTCCTGTTAAGACGAAATATACTCCCTATACCGCGATTGCTGACTGCCTTCATTTTGTGTGATCAACACGTATCAATTGAGATTATGTACCGAACATGACGCGTTCAGTACCGAGTTGAATCAATAAGTTAACGGGAGATCAGTCAGTAATATACTCAGCATGAATAAATCAAGAACCAAATTAATTTGATGTAATAAACACTTGTATTCTAAAATGAACGAAGTCAATACAAATAACCACAAAGGAATTACAATGGCAGTGGAACATGGGGAAGATGTACCAATACAATGATGCTACGTTATATGTCATAGGCGGATGGAAGTGGCGTGGGAGTGGGGGTGTGTGCAGGGGTGCGCACCCCCATTTTGTTCTGAAAGATTGTTAAATGACCATTGAAACTCGTGAAAACGGGGGAAAATGAAGTGTGCATCCCCCTTTCTCACAAGTGTGTACCCCTCGCCCCCCTTTCTAATAAAGCTGCATCCGCCCCTGTATGACACAAAAGCACTGTTAATAGCAATCAAGACAATGATGTAATACTCACCGGCTGCAACGGTAGCCAATGTTCCAAAAATAGCCCTAATAGCCCAAGGCTGAGGATGTAGGATGACCTTGATCTTCACAGCACTGGTGGTCTTCTTGTGATTCTTGATGAGATGTGAGATGGCTAAGGTGAGAGTTAGCTCCCTTTATATACATAAGCAGCTACCCGGATGTTCGTACTGTCTGTGCCAGGCTACACTGGAATATTCTGGAATATGCCAAACACGTCTTGTCTAGCCTATCTAGACGTAGTAACCAACACACCACTGACCTCTACTTAACCATAGATGAAGTACAAATGCAGCACCGTTCCACATTGAAAAAAATCAATAAAATTGCCTCATAACTGACTGTGGCCCTATTTTGCAACTAACCCAGTTCCGCATAGTTTGTGAGTGCTGATGGGTGATCTCGGACTGACCACAGTTTGTTCCTGCATGTTCCTGCATGTTCCTTCTTGTTCATTTGTTCCTTTTGTTACCTAACAAATTGCATTGCATTGTGTGCATGCACACAATTGCACGTGCACATGCAAATATATCTGTGGTAGCGGTGGAGGGGCAGTGGTAGTGGTGGTGCTAGTGGTTTGAGAGGCAGATACAGATGTCGCCGTGTTGGTGGTGGCGGTGGTAGTGGTGTTGGCTGGTTATAGTGGTAGTGGTTGTAGTTGCAGTAGTGGTAGCTAGTGCTAGTGCTAGTAGGGCACATATATGTGTGGTAGCAATATTTTAGTAGTGGTAGTGATGTTGGTTGGTTATAGTGGTAGTGGTGGTGATAGTAAGGACAGTGCCAATGCGTGTAGGGCGTACATATCTGTCGCAGCAGTATTAGTAGTTGTAGTCGTGTTGGTTGCAGGGGCAGGGGCAGTGGTGGTGGTAGCAGTGGTAGGAGAGGCATAGGTAATTTGTCACTGTGTTACTGGTGGCGGTGTTAGTGGTGTTGCTTGGTTATAGCGGTAAGAGTTGTAGTGTTAGTGTAGTGTTAGTTGTAGTAGTGGTGTTAGTAGTGTTAGTTGTAGTAGTAGTGGTGTTAGTAGTGTTAGTTGTAGTAGTGGTGTTAGTAGTGTTAGTTGTAGTAGTGGGGGTAGTAGTGTTAGTTGTAGTAGTGGGGGTAGTGGTGTTAGTTGTAGTAGTGGTGTTAGTAGTGTTAGTTGTAGTAGTAGTGTTAGTAGTGTTAGTTGTAGTAGTGGTGTTAGTAGTGTTAGTTGTAGTAGTGGTAGTTGTAGTAGTAGTGTAAGTGGTGTTAGTTGTAGTAGTGGTGGTAGTAGTGTTAGTTGTAGTAGTGGTGTTAGTAGTGTTAGTTGTAGTAGTGGGGGTAGTGGTGTTAGTAGTGTTAGTTGTAATAATAGTGGTGTTAGTAGTGTTAGTTGTAGTAATGGTGGTAGTAGTGTTAGTTGTAGTAGTGGTGTTAGTAGTGTTAGTTGTAGTAGTGGTGTTAGTAGTGTTAGTTGTAGTAGTGGTGTTAGTAGTGTTAGTTGTAGTAGTGGTGGTGATAGTAGTGTTAGTTGTAGTAGTGGGGGTAGTAGTGTTAGTTGTAGTAGTGGTGGTAGTAGTGTTAGTTGTAGTAGTGGTGTTAGTAGTGTTAGTTGTAGTAGTGGTGTTAGTAGTGTTAGTTGTAGTAGTGGTGTTAGTAGTGTTAGTTGTAGTAGTGGGGGTAGTGGTGTTAGTAGTGTTAGTTGTAATAGTAGTGGTGTTAGTTGTAGTAATGGTGGTAGTAGTGTTAGTTGTAGTAGTGGTGTTAGTAGTGTTAGTAGTGTTAGTTGTAGTAGTGGTGTTAGTAGTGTTAGTTGTAGTAGTGGTGTTAGTAGTGTTAGTTGTAGTAGTGGTGGTGATAGTAGTGTTAGTTGTAGTAGTGGGAGTAGTGGTGTTAGTTGTAGTAGTGGTGTTAATAGTGTTAGTTGTAGTAGTGGTGTTAGTAGTGTTAGTTGTAGTAGTGGGGGTAGTGGTGTTAGTAGTGTTAGTTGTAATAGTAGTGGTGTTAGTAGTGTTTGTTGTAGTAATGGTGGTAGTAGTGTTAGTTGTAGTAGTGGTGGTAGTAGTGTTAGTTGTAGTAGTGGGGGTAGTGGTGTTAGTAGTGTTAGTTGTAATAGTAGTGGTGTTAGTTGTAGTAATGGTGGTAGTAGTGTTAGTTGTAGTAGTGGTGGTGATAGTAGTGTTAGTTGTAGTAGTGGGAGTAGTGGTGTTAGTTGTAGTAGTGGTGTTAGTAGTGTTAGTTGTAGTAGTGGTGTTAGTAGTGTTAGTTGTAGTAGTGGGGGTAGTGGTGTTAGTAGTGTTAGTTGTAATAGTAGTGGTGTTAGTAGTGTTAGTTGTAGTAATGGTGGTAGTAGTGTTAGTTGTAGTAGTGGTGTTAGTAGTGTTAGTTGTAGTAGTGGTGTTAGTTGTGTTAGTTGTAGTAGTGGTGTTAGTAGTGTTAGTTGTAGTAGTGGCGGTAGTAGTGTTAGTTATAGTAGTGGTGGTAGTAGTGTTAGTTGTAGTAGTGGTGTTAGTAGTGTTAGTTGTAGTAGTGGTGTTAGTAGTGTTAGTTATAGTAGTGGTGTTAGTAGTGTTAGTTGTAATAGTGGTGGTAGTAGTGTTAGTTATAGTAGTAGTGGTAGAAGTGTTTGTAGTAGTAGTGGTGTTAGTAGTGTTAGTTGTAGTAGTGGTTGTAGTAGTGTTAGCTGTAGTAGTGATGGTGCTAGTGCTAGGGCTAATAGGACATAAATATCTGTGGTAGCAGTATTAGTAGTGGTAGTCGTTTTGGTAGCTGCGGCAGGGACAGGGGCAGTGGTGGCGGTGGTAGTGGTAATAGTGGCCATAAGGGTAGTGGTGGTAGTCGTAGTCGTAGTAGTGATAGTGCTAGTACGGTAGTGGTGTTAGTAGGGACAGTGGTAGTGGTGGGGGTGCTTGTGGTAGAAGAGACAGTGGTAGTTGTCGCCGTGTTAGTGGTCGTGGTAGTAGTAGTAGTGGTAGTGGTGTTGGTAGCAGGGGCAGTGGTAATGGTGGCGGTGATCATGGTAGTAGAGTACAGGTAGCGGTGTTTGTGGTAGTACTAGTATGGAAGAAGCGGTTGTGGTGGAGAGTGAGCTAAAAATTTAATGTCACATCGGCAGTGGTTCAGCTACATCGTTACTATGAGAGTCGTATTGCTAAAGATATACTTACACGATCTAAATACTCGGCGTTATTAATGAAGGGTCAAATGATACATAGCACATGCAAAGAAAAGTTTCCCAGAAATAATAGAACTAAGAGTGTCATTATAATGTTTAATGTGTTGACAAACGTGACACATCGTGGCATACAGGCAGAAAGTTCAAACAGCACCAGCTAACATCAGTTGTATAGACCAACACCCCAAAATGAAAATGACAAACATGAAGCACTCGCCCATTCAATATATTTTGTACCAAGCTGTATATATTCCAACCAAAAACCACTTTACCACTTTTAAGAAATAGTGTTACCAACAGCTTGACCCTTCATTAATAATGACGCGGAGTATACCTGACGACAAAGGACAATTGAATTATAACTTTGCTATAACAGGTTTACATTTAAAACTAGCACGTGACAATAAAATGAGATTTCAATACTCAACACGCTATAAAAGTGGGTTAAAGGTCGCCAACAACTGAAGGTAGATCATCAGGACCCAGCCCATTGTACACCAACACTTCAGATTATTGAAGCTAGCTACTTATTACTAGCTACTATTGACAAATTTAAACGAAACCATATTCTAAGCTTATTTAGAGTGAGTAAGTGAGTTTGGTTTTATGCCGCTTTTAGCAATATTCCACGAATATCAAGGCGGGGACACCAGAAATGGGTTTCACACATTGTACCCATGTGGGCAATCGAACCCGGGTCTCCAGCGTGACGAGCGAACGCTCTAACCACAAGGCTACCCCGCTGCACCAAAGACATGGTAGGAATAACATACTTTGAATGACGTGGCATTTATGTATCATCTCAGAGGGACAATTTTACACTACTTTAGCTCTCTTCGAAGGTATGGCCACAAACTCAGTTACCATATGTTTTCTACCAGTCATAATAAATTGTGATCAAAATCTGTGAAGAAACTCAGTTTCCTTTCATAAAATATATACAACTAAACGAGAATCTATGGTGGCGGTGAAGTAGTAGTGGTAGTGGCGGTAATAATGGTTGTAGTGTAGTAGTGGTAGTGGTAGTGTCAGTGTCAGTGTCAGTGATAGTGCGTCAGTGTTAGTGTTAGTGCTGGTGTTAGTATTAGAGTCAGTGTCAGTGCTAGTGCTAGTGCTATTGTTAGTGGTAGTGGTAGTGGTAGTGTTAGTGTTAGTGTAAGTGTTAGTTTTAGTGCTAGTGTAAGTGTTAGTGTTAGTGTAAGTGTTAGTGTATGTGTTAGTGTTAGTGTTAGTGCTAGTGTTAGTGTTAGTGTTAGTGTAAGTGTTAGTGCTAGTGTTAGCGTTAGTGTAAGTGTTACTGTTAGTGCTAGTGTAAGTGTTAGTGTTAGTGTAAGTGTTAGTGCTAGTGTTAGTGTTAGTGTAAGTGCTAGTGTTAGTGCTATTGTTAGTGTTAGTGCTGGTGTTAGTGTTATTGCTAGTGCTAGTGTAAGTGTGAGTATTAGAGTCAGTGTAAGTGCCTAGAGAAATTGCCTTGCAGTTTGATTTGTGCGCTATACAAGAACACTTATTATTATTATTATTAAGTGTCAGTGCTAGTGCTAGTGCTATTGTTAGTGTAAGTGTTAGTGTTAGTGTTAGTGCTGGTGTTAGTGGTAGTCTTAGTGCTAGTGTTAGTGGTAGTGTTAGTGCTAGTGCTAGTGCTAGTGTTAGTGTTAGTGTTAGTGTTAGTGTTAGTGTTAGTGTTAGTGCTAGTGCCAGTGTTAGTGTTAGTGTTAGTGGTCTGGTGTTAGTGTTAGTGTAAGTGCTAGTGCTAGTGTTAGTGTTAGTGTTAGTGTTAGGGTTAGTGTTAGTGGTAGTGTTAGTGGTAGTGCTAGTGTTAGTGTTAGTGCTGGTGTAAGTGGTAGTGTTATTGTTAGTGGTAGTGTTAGTGGTAGTGTTAGTGCTAGTGCTAGTGCTAGTGTTAGTGTTAGTGTAAGTGTTAGTGCTAGTGCTAGTGCTAGTGTTAGTGTTAGTGTTAGTGTTAGTGCTAGTGTTAGTGTTAGTGTTAGTGTAAGTGTTAGTGCTAGTTCTAGGGCTAGCGTTAGTGTAAGTGTTAGTGCTAGTGTTAGTGTTGGTGCTAGTGTTA